GGGGGACAAAAGGAGACCCAAGGGGTGACAGAGGATCCAGGGGGGACACGAGGGGACCCCAGGGCCAATGGGGGGGGACCCAAGCAGTAACAGAGGTTCCCGGGGGGACAAGAGGGGACCCAAGGGGTGACAGAGGATCTGGGAGGGACAAGAGGGGACCCCAGGGACAATGGAGGGACACAAGGGGTAAGAAAGGTTCCAAGGGGGACAAGAGGGGACCCAAGCAGTGACAGAGGATCCGGGAGGGACAAGAGGGGACCCCAGGGACAATGGGGGGACACAAGAGGCAACAGAGGATCCGGAGGGGACAAGAAGGGACCCAAGGGACGATGGGGGGGACCCAAGGGGTGACAGAGGACCCAGGGGGGACAAGAGGGGACCCAAGGGGTGAGAGAAGTTCCAAGGGGGAACAAGAGGGGACCCAAGGGGTGACAGAGGATCCGGAGAGGAGAAGAGGGGACCCCAGGGACAATGGGGGGACCCAAGGGGTGACAGAGTTTCCAAGGGGGACAAGAGAAGACCCAAGGGGTGACAGAGGATCCGGGGGGGGACAAGAGGGGACCCAAGGGGTGACGGAAGTTCCAAGGGGGACAAAAGGAGACCCAAGGGGTGACAGAGGATCCAGGGGGGACACGAGGGGACCCCAGGGCCAATGGGGGGGGACCCAAGGAGTAACAGAGGTTCCAAGGGGGACAAGAGGGGACCCAAGCAGTGACAGAGGATCCGGGAGGGACAAGAGGGGACCCCAGGGACAATGGAGAGACCAAAGAGGCAACAGAGGATCCGGAGGGGACAAGAAGGGACCCAAGGGACGATGGGGGGGACCCAAGGGGTGACAGAGGACCCAGGGGGGACAAGAGGGGACCCAAGGGGTGAGAGAAGTTCCAAGGGGGAACAAGAGGGGACCCAAGGGGTGACAGAGGATCCGGAGAGGAGAAGAGGGGACCCCAGGGACAATGGGGGGACCCAAGGGGTGACAGAGTTTCCAAGGGGGACAAGAGAAGACCCAAGGGGTGACAGAGGATCCGGGGGGGGACAAGAGGGGACCCAAGGGGTGACGGAAGTTCCAAGGGGGACAAAAGGAGACCCAAGGGGTGACAGAGGATCCAGGGGGGACATGAGGGGACCCCAGGGCCAATGGGGGGGGACCCAAGGAGTAACAGAGGTTCCAAGGGGGACAAGAGGGGACCCAAGGGACGATCGGGGGGACCCAAGGGGTCACAGAGGATCCAGAGGGGACAAGAGGGGACCCAAGGGGTGACAGAGGATCCGGAGGGGACAAGAGGGGACAAGAGGGGTGACAGAGGATCCTCCAGGAGGGGACAAGAAGGGATCCCATGGACGATGGGGGGACCAAAGGGGTGACAGAGAATCTGGGGGGGACAAGAGGGGACCCCAGGGGTGACAGAGGATCCAGGGGGGGACAAGAAGGGATCCCATGGACGATGGGGGGACCAAAGGGGGGACAGAGGTTCCAAGGGGGACAAGAGGGGACCTAAGGGATGATGGGGGGACTCAAGAGGTGACAGAGGTTCCAAGGGGGACAAGAGGGGACCTAAGGGATGATGGGGGGACTCAAGAGGTGACAGAGGTTCCAAGGGGGACAAGAGGGGACCCCAGGGGTGACAGAGGATCCAGGAGGGACAAGAGGGGACCCCAGGGACAATGGGGGGACCCAAGGGGTGAGAGAAGTTCCAAGGGGGACAAGAGGGGACCTAAGGGATGATGGGGGGACTCAAGAGGTGACAGACACAAGAGGGGACCCCAGGGGTGACAGAGGATCCAGGAGGGGACAAGAAGGGATCCCATGGACGATGGGGGGACCAAAGGGGTGACAGAGGATCTGAGGGGGACAAGAGGGGACCCAGGAGGTGACAGAGGACCCGGGGGACACAAGAAGGGACTCCAGGGACAATGGGGGGACACAAGGGGTGACAGAGGACCCGGGGGACACAAGAGGGGACCCCGGGGCCGCCGCGGGCAGCGTCACCTCGTCGGGGCAGATGAGCAGGCGGAAATGCAGCAGGTCGTCCTGGTCGGAGAAGTCGATCTCGCAGGTCTTGGGCAGGTTCAGCTCGTTGATGTCTGCGACGGGGACGCGGGTCAGGAAAAAAACCCACGATGGGGAAAAAAAAAAGACGCGGATGGAGGAAAATCCCGAGGGATCCGGGATCCCCGGGTGCCACACGCGGGATGGGGGTCCCAGGGCCGCTCCAGGGCCGGTTCCGACCCGGAATACTCAGTAGCTGCCCCCCAAACCCTAAAGAGGGGGTGGGTTCGGTTCTGGTTCCCCAGCACCCCGGTACCGGGCCGGGTCCTGCCCTGCAGCAGCCCCTCATAGGGACCACGTGGGTCCAGCGCCGGTTCGGCCCCCGGTACCGGGTCCAGGTGGGTTCCCCCCCTCCATAAGCCCAAGCCCAGGTGAGTCCAGACCTGGTTCTACCCCCGTGGTTCGGGCCAGGGGAAGGCGGCAGCGGCCCCCGCGGCTCTGAGGCCGGTGCAGACTCGGGTCCCTT